TCCGTATGTATGCTTAGATCTTTAAAACTACGCAACGGATTTTGATGCGGTTTTTTTTAATAGATAGAGTGATTCTTAAGGAAGGTTTGTATGTTATGTATAATACATTCATATTGCACCCGTGCGAAGCCGGGGCGGGTCGCTAGTTATTTAATATTTAAATATTTTGTTTTGACGTTCAAAAGTGCCTTACTGGTCTAATTGAAATAAATGATTTTGACTTTGACTTTGAATTTGACTTTGGTAAACACTTACATCATTCAGTGAGGGTACTGTTATCCTGGCTTTAGGTTTCACAGCATTTGTTATTTCTTTCTTGTGTAAGAATTCATCATCTTCTTCAATGACTGCTGGTTTTTGTTTCGATGGTTGAGGTAAGAAGTTAAATAAGCTCAGTTCATTCTGTTCCGGCTGTAGCTCTTGTTCATCCTCAATTGTCGTAACAGGCTTCGATACTGTTGGATCTGGAACTTAATAATACTGTTTTATTATTTAAGTCTAGTATAACGTGTGGAAATAGTAGGTCGTACCCTCCGATAATATTAAGGGAATCTTAAGGTCGTATGATGTAGTAAGTAATATCAAAGAAGATTGTTACCGTGTTTGATTTCAGTTTTGGTGTTCACTGAAGAAATAGCAGTATAATTATTGGTTTCCTCCTCATAGTCACTCGAGTCACTGTTTTCGTATGCGACTAAAGCCATTTTAAGGTAATTTAACTTTTTGAAGGTTTGAAGTACCTAGGCATAAAACAATATTTGGATTCACAGGTCTAACAATCACAAATAATTAGATACGACAACGACAAGTATAGACATGGGTCATATAGGTAGTAGATCAACATTCAATACACAAGACAATTCACATGTCACATTGACACTTGACTGCTTGACTCTTGACAGTGTGAATCTATCATCTATGGGTGAACTGAATAGCGTAAAGGTAGATGATACCTCCATGGTGAATAGTAATTTCATAGACTATTTGTCAGACGTCCATAGACATAATATCTATTTTACGCACTTATATTTATAAATCTATGATTTTACGTCTGTGTCACTTGTAACATGTATGTAAGTTTTAGCCATACAGACCATAGATTTAGTATTATATAGATGCGCCGTAATGATCTATAGCTTATTTGCTTATACAAATATATATCACATCGATATAGAAAAATGAAACCATACTTTGTCCCTTTTTAATCAATGAGTAACCTCATTTGAAGAAAGAGACGTCATGTTGTTTGTTTATTCTCTGCCTGGCAACATTTCTACATTTCTGACAAGGTACCTACCTCGCGTGCCAGCCGCCATCTTTAGGCCGTATAGTTTTGTAGTACGTCAGGTGTCAAGCGAACAACAACATTGGATTTGGATTGCGATTTTTATCAATAAAAACGCTCCTAATTAAATTGTTTTGTGCTGTAAGTGTCTGGTGGTGCATATTCAATATGTGTACTAGTTCAATAATTCAGTGTGGGGCAAGGAAAAACCCCAATCAACCTCATTTGACTACGCACAGGTTAGTAGCCGTATTTTAAGAAAAACTTTATCATACTATTAGTTTTCTTGTTTATCTAGCCTTGTTTTATATATAGAATAAAAACCCCCAAATGTACATTCCATTTGGTTCTAATAACTAACTTCATTTGCTAAATTTGTTTTATGTTTTGTTTACAATACAAATGACGATTTACAATAGTGAT